AGAAGGAGGAGGAGGAAGAAGAAGAAGAGGAGGATAACATCGATAATGATGATGATGATGACGATGTTGATGATGATAATGATGACAGCGGCGATGATGGAGAGGAGGAGGAGGAGGAGAAAGAGGAGGAGGAGGAGGAAATAACTCAGGAAGCGACAGAGGAGGAAGATAACAGATATTACGTGCCTCTTGGAAATGAAGGTAATAATCTTTTTATTTTTTATTTTTAATTTATTTATTACTCGAGATACTTATGAAGATATTTTTATCAGATATTTCATACTCCCCCGTTCTACCTATGTCGCCGGAATACTAAATTTCATAAAAGAGAAAAACATTATCCTCCCATACTCGATCATGTAAACAACTGTAAGTGAGTTATCTTGCCATGCAGTAATGTAATGAATAGTATATTTCTAACTTATTGTAATATATAAAAGGGTGTTTTTTTAAGCCCGATAGAACTTACAACTGTAAAAACTAGCACAAAAATGCAATTATAATCAAAAATTTTTTTTTATTCGAAAGATCAATGTATGGCATTAACAATTGAAAATGATTTCGGGCATATGGCCACCGCGGCTGTTCTTGACGAAGCGCATTCTGGACGTCCAATTTTGAGTGACTTTTTCGAGCAGTGCCGGCCGTATGTCACGAATAACACGAACAATGTTGTCCTCCAAGGCGTCAATTGTTGCTGGTTTATCAGCATAAACCAGTGACTTGACGTAGCCCCAGAGGAAATAATCGAGAGGGGTCAAATCGCACGACCTTGGAGGCCAATTGACAGTTCCATTTCTCGAAATCAACTTATCGCCAAATTTTGATTTCAATAAGTCGATGGTTGCGGTCGACGTGTGGCACGTAGCGCCATCCTGTTGAAACCACATCTCGTCCGGATCAATGTCATCCATATTTTCAAATAAAAAATCATTGATCATGGTGCGGTAACGATCTCCATTGACCGTAACGCGAGCTCCGGCCTCATTTTTGAAGAAATAAGGTCCGATGATGCCACCAGCGTGTAAACCGCACCAAACGGTGCATTTTTCTGGATGTAATGGAGTCTGTAGGATCTCTTGTGGATTGTTCTCATTCCATATGCGGCAATTTTGCTTATTAACAAACCCGTTAAGCCAAAAATGAGCCTCATCGCTGAACACAATTTGTCGATAAAACAACGGGTCAGTTGCCAACTGCTCTAGAGCCCAATCGGCGAAAGAACGACGCATATCATGGTCTCGTGGCTTTAATTCCTGCACCAGCTGGATCTTATACGGGTGTAGGCCAAGATCTTTGCGCAAAATTTTCCACGTAGTGGACGGACAGAGCCCCAATTCCTGCGACCGACGACGAATCGATACATTTGGATCTTCTTCCACACTTTCATTTACAGCGGCGATATTCTCTTCAGTACGCACATTCCTTCGACGTGTTGGTGTTATTGCATCATGTAGAGAGTATGTGGTACGAAATCTATCCACAGTTCGACGGATGGTTTGCTCAGATGGACGATTATGTGCGCCATAAAAATCACGAAGTCGTCTATAAGTTGCGCGAATCGACGACTGATTTTCAAAGTAAATTTGGATAATTTGGTAGCGTTGTTCAAGCGTGAGTCTATTCATAATGATTTGCCAGTGTATACTGAAAGAAATAAAACAAATTTTTTTATTAAAATTTAATTTTTTGTTTTATTTTTTACAATTTCAAATTCTATCGGGCTTAAAAAAACACCCTTTATATATATATATATATGTATATAGCAATGTTATCGGACTAATAAGGTTTGTTTAATTTTTTACAGTACAAATAGGCGGTGGTGCTGAGCGTCTTACATCGCAGCACGAAAAAATTGGAAGAAGAATCCTCACAAAATTCCATCGGCGAACAAGGTCATCATCATCATCAGCAGCAGCAGCAGCAGCATCAGCAACATCAGCAGCATCAGCAGCAGCAGCAATATACACATCATCATCATCATCATCATCATCATCAGCTCGAGGAAAAGTTTTAGGAATTTCGCGTTACTAGAGAGAGAGGCCACTTTCGCGATACGACCGCCACCCGAAGGTACTGATATCGTTCGTTGGATACAAAACGCGTTCCTTAAAATTAGGACGTACGCACTACATTCGAGCGAACCGAACGATTACGTAGGATTATCGTCGGCGTATCTAGCGCGCGGCCCAGCGGGTCTATCGTTTCGTCCTGCACGCGACTTAACTCACGAGGACATATGGCAACTCGTGAGTTCGTTGGCGCAAAGTGCCGGAGGGTTCGATATCGCAGAAAATTTTACTGTTCGCGTTTTTAAAGTTTCGGTACCCGCAGGTCGCGGACGTCAATCTAACAGATTGACTCGCGAAGACATAGCCAAACGCTCGATTTTACAAATAAATAACACAAACAAATTGTGTTTTCCGCGTTCGATCGTAGTGGCTCACACATATCAAGAGCGTGGGCAACTGCGTACGGGGGAATTGCAAGAAAAATGGGAATCCGTGAGATACCATCGTTCTTCGTAACAGCGTATGCTGGCCGAAGAATTAACAAAATCCGCTGGTATCACGATTCCCGAGGAAGGCTGTGGTATTTGTGAAATCGAGCAATTCCAACGGATTCTCGCTTCCGAAAATATTGCTATAATGGTATATAATTTTAGTACTTTCGGTCGAGGCGAGAATCCGATGTATGACGGCTGCTCGTTACTTTCCTCCCTAAGTCGCGAATCCTCGTGCTGTTTAAACGTAATGTATTACGTGGGCTCGCGAAATTATAACCCTATACTAAATTTAAAAGCCGCCGCTGGTTCTCGTGGAGGATATTGCGTAGCGTGCAACGTGGGCTTTCGTAACGATCGAGGACATCGATGCACAAAAAAATGCCCACGTTGCTACGCCACCCCGTCTTGCGAGTTCCTCGACGTTGAGATGATTAAGTGCGATTCGTGCGCTCGCGTCTTCTTCGGGCGTCCGTGTTTCGATCGTCATCGAACGCAGAGATCGTATAATCAATCCCTCTCAAGCGTTTGCGAATCCATTAAAATTTGCAACGGTTGTGGGCGATTGATTAATTCAAAATCGCGACACGATTGCGACATAATTTATTGTAAAACGTGCCGTTTGTTACGGTCTTCGAATCATTTGTGTTACATTCGGCCTCTTTGTCGTAAAACCACAGTAGGAAACCCTGGAGAGGGTATAAGTATTATGGCGTTGCGAGAAGAAAATCCGCAAACAAATACAAATGACGCCGAAGACGCGGACGAGCGTGTTAAAAGAGATCGCGTCGCATTCGTGTTTTATGATTTCGAAACGCGACAAGACGAAACGCTCGAAGGAATGAAAAACGTAAGAATTCACGTTCCAACTCTTTGCGTCGCGCAACAAATTTGCGAAGCGTGCGCGGGAATAGAGACTATGTCATTGCAATGTCATTGGTATGGAGTGCGCGAATTCCTATTTTGTAGAGACCCCGTAAAAGAGTTTGTCGATTTCGCGACGCGCTCGTCTAAATATTTTAAA